GGTGCAGGGACAACGTCTGGACCCTTCTCCCCCTGAACTGGTCTCCAGTCCCTCCGACCGCTTTGAGTCCCCGACTGGTTCCTGACTTTCCCCGTTTCGCTGAAATCAGCATTTTCCTGCCCGGCAGGCTGGGGTCCCCACCTCCCCTCACTGTCAGGGGCACGTTCTCCTTTGTTTCTAGTTACACACCTTGATGTAAGCAGGGAGCCCCCACGTCCCCAGTTCAGGGCCGCCGCCTGTTTTAATCCATCGATAAGGTGCCAGGACGAGACGGCGCCCGCAAGAGGGAAACCCACAGGCCGTCCCAGCGCCCCTGGGCTCCGCACGCCCCGCTCCCCTCACACCCGCCTGTGTGCTTTCTGCACAGCCCCTCCCCTCGGAGCCAGGACCGCGCTGTCCGCAGGGGCCGCCTGGCCTGCGCTGCCCCCGAAGACCCGGCGTCCCGGACACAGGGCGGCACAGAGGATGTGCCCCGGGAGCGCCCCGAGAGCGTCACCCCAATAAATCTCATTTACTAGGACACTGATTCTTGGCACTCGCCAGTTTCTCTGTATCCACGCGCCTTCGTGGCCGCCATCGAGGGGTCCACGTGAGGTCCTGACACAGACCTGGGAAGCGATGCCCACACTGACCTCCACGAAGCAGCACAAGCTGACGCGGGCCCCGTCGACACCACTCAGTTGCCTCCTGTTTTATGTGAAACGATGATTTCTGCTCAGTGTTGTCAAACAGCCTCGGCGAAACCACAAGACCACAGTCCGAACTCGCGCAGGTGAGAGGCGAAGGGGAACCCCCAATATCAGTGTGTGGGCGGGCAGTGAGCCCATGGCGTGCTCGCGCGTCACTCTAGGACCGCACATGACATCCATCCGATCAGGGAACGCACTGCTCCCGCCTGGTTACACACGCAGCTCTGTCGTTAAGTGCTTGCCTTACGGGACATCCGTCCACATGCGTCACTCACATGGCCAATGACAAGAGCTAATCTTATTACCCCCCCCTAAAAAAACCATTGCAAAACTACATGCACCAAAAAAGAGAAAAATTGGTGGCCCTTGTAAAAAAACCAAATGCTCTATGTCAATGAAAATTCACACACTGAAGTTGCAAGGGTCGTGCATACCTGGCTTCATGCCTCATAGTTAATACACGTAGAAGATTATTAAGCTGTGTGTTTAGGATTATTCCATTTACCTGAAGTTAAAAAGGAGACGCTATGTGTCACTGGGGAGCCTCTACCTAAGATAAACCCTACAAATAAAGGCAGTGAGAGGGTTCCGGGAACCCACGATGGCTCTTACAGGTTAGGACACGTTGGGAAGTTTTGTTCAGGATGGAAACCACAGAATCCTCTGGACTAGTGGCCACGCTCTTCTCAGCTTTCATTTGATGCCTCATAAGTCTGCTCGTCACTACTGGCAGACGGTGCGTTTCTGTTCCACAGCCATCGCCATTTCCCATACGCTTCAGCGGGGTGGAAGGAAGCCCTACACTCGTGCCACGTGCACGACCACTTGGTTGCTGCCCGCGTGCGTGGCATGCATGTTGGCACCATGTTTTCCACGGGCACGACCTGGCCTGCCTGAGCGGCCCCGCCCAGGCCCAGTCGCACCGTGAGCCTTGCCCGGTGAGCCCGCCTGAGCGCACCCGACGGGGCCCTGAGCGGAGCCCGCGGCCCGCAGCACTCGGTTCACAGCTCAGAATTTAAACTGGGCCCGTGAGAGCCTCTGACCCGTCATGGCCCTAGAATCTGAATTGGGGTGAAGCCCAGCATTATGCATGTGGGGGGATATTTCAGAGATGGGGTTCAGCACCCCAGGATTGGTTCCCGGTCGGGGTTGGTTCCAAAGGAAACGGTTCTTCATGTTCTTTTCAATGTGTCTGTTCTGGAAGTTCTAGTTCCGTCCCCGTGCTGTGACTTCTCAGCTAGACTGGCCGGTTTCCACAAAGGAGCTGTCCTCCGTAGGCGGTTGTCAAAATTGACGTTGAACTGAGGCCTGACGGGGGAAATCTCTTATCCTGCCGTCCTGCCCACATCGCTCTGGATGTCTGCTTTGTTTTCCTGGCACTCTCCAAGCTTTGATATGATAGAATTCCAACATTCTCTTTCTTAATAACATATAATTCAAGTAAATATTTTATGCTTTAGCATATTACTTATTTCTGGGGTTTTGCTTGTATGTATTTTTTAAACCTGAACTGAGGATATTTTTTTTTTCCATTGCCCTTCAGAGACAGTAGAAGGGAGACACACACGG